GGATCAGCAAAATTTTTAATGTTTTTTAAAGAAGTCTCGTCTGCTCATCATTTGCATCAGCTGCATTTATTTGATCAAAAATATAGCGAAAAAATAAATAAATAATTGAATAAATGCATATTTACAATTCAAGCACTTAACTAAAATATGTATTAAATAATAAAATAAATAACTAGAGAAGGCTGACTATAATCAGCTTGCTTCCATTTAGTGAGAAAACCTACTCTTCACCTGTATTAGAAAAACACAGAGATCTGATCATCATCAGTCTGTCTGGAGTCACATGAAGAAACAGAACAAACTGAGACAGACTCAATCCAGAAGAACTGCAGTACTGGAGCTTTGCAGGAGGTTTCTTGAAGCGTCAGTTCTTCTGGATTGAGTCTGTCTCAGTTTGTTCTGGTTCTTCATGTGACTCCAGACAGACTGATGATGATCAGATCAGATCTCTGTGTGCAGCACAAACATCTCACTGCATTATTACAATTAATGGCACAATGAATGTTTGGAAATTTAAATGATATTTCCTATACTAGTGTTCTAATCATTCTGGCCAACACTGTAAATGAAAACATGCCTCAAACACAGACTCACCCGTAAAGAGATGGTGCCCAAGTCTTTGTTGACGGACATATCACCGGACAGGTTCAAGCTGATGTCCATGTTTTCACTCGTCACATCAGAGTATCGTTTTGATAACCTTTCCACATCGTCTCCAGCCAGTGAGGACCTGTCGCTCATCCCAGACATGCGATTGCTCGGCTCTTTGGACTCGGTTCGGTTCAGAATGGCATGGCTAGGCATTTCCCTTGCGCCGTGAGCTTCCTCCTCCTCCGGTTTCTCTGAGGGTTGCTCCGTGGTTTCTGAGGACGATCCGGATGACTCTGAAGGTTCTGGTGTTCCCAGCAAATGCAGCTCTGGTTCTGAGCTCTCGACCGCCTTGGGGTCCTCCTCGGAGGTGGGTGTGCTTTTTCCATCCTCGATGCCGGAGTCCGAGCTGGAAATCTTGCCTGACGCCTCGCTCTCAGGTTTGTCGTGATCCTCCTCTGGAAACCTGTCGCTGAGAACATTCTGCTCTTTCAAAGGGCTTTCGGTGGACACAGGGGTCCTGGGCTCCTCCTCGAGCTCCATTGGAGCTTCATTGTGGCGATGGTCCCCATATAAACTGGTCTCACTGGTTTCTGACGGGTCTTTGATGGGCGCCTAGAAAGAACACAGACAGAAAGCGGCTTGCGTGACATAAAAGCCTTAACATTGTCATATCCATCACCATGCTAAAATGTTCCGAGAGTTGTTATGATTGAATTACATTCTTACAGTCAAAACCAAAATTTATTCAGACGTCTTCAACATTTCTCACACTATCACAGTTCAGAAAATGGTACTAAAATATGACAAGAACTCGGAGTTAAACTGTGTCAGAACAAATTAATCTTGATAATGTCAGATAACTTTGATAGAAAGGACTGTAATGAATTCAGCTGTCAGCTGTTAAATTTAAGCACACAATTAGATAACACCAATTTAGGTATTACCAAGCAATGCTTCATTTTGTTCAGTCTGGGGTGTAAAAAGGTTGCATTAGCAATTAAACAAAAACATGCTCAGGTCAAAGTGTCTGAATAATTTTTGCTCCCAAATTTTACTGGAAGTCCACTGTATGAAGAATTTTTGGGTATTATACGTCACGGTTCACTTTATTTTGCTATCCTCACTTACATTTATGAACTATAGTTTCCTGCACCCACTAATAAAAAATATCAAAAATATATCTGGTCTGAATAATTTTTTGGTTTGACTGTATCTTCAAAATAACTACCAAATTTTGCTATAAGTTTGACCGCAACACATATAATCATTGCTGTTAATAGCGTCTGTTTGATTACATGACATTAACTAACTGCTTGATTTTCTGTGCATTTTCCGTGCATTTCTGCCATATGGACATCAACTTGAGATAAGCTATTACTAAATATAGTGTAGAAACTTTAATTTTCTGTAAAGTTGCTTTGCAACGATTTGCATCGTGAACAGCGCTATACAAATAAACTTGAATTGAATTATCGTGAAGTGCTGCATCTGTCAAACTTGAAGGCCAAGCTTCACAGGTTTACTATGGTTTGTCAGAGTAAACCGGCAATGCTAAGGTTGTGCCTGTACTAAAACTGACTGAGAAAACACATGGAGATGATGCACTGCTGTTAATAAAGACAGGCCAGATACGGTCAGTAAACTCATGCACAGCTGCAAGCCTTCACCCTTATAACTGTTTCCTTGCCAAAACGAGGAACCAATTGTCCTGTGCTTTATTTAACTCTAAAGAAATGTGGACGGCTTGTCTTTTGTTTCATTCTTTACATGAAGGCCAGATGAGAAGCGGAGGAGGAAGTGTATTAAGGGTTATTTCGGAACGTGCCATGTCAACACATTTACTGCAAACGGCCTCGAAGAGATCTTTAAATGGAGACGCTAATGTGAAAGCCTTGTTACAGTCAGATTACATGAGCGGAAGTGACGTCACAACCACATTGTGCTATAATGGTACATCGAGGGAAACTGGAGGGCAGTGTTGCCAAGTCCTTGGTTTTACAGCGGGAATCGTGCTACTTTTACAACGCTGCCGCGGGTTTTTTTTTTTAGTCTAGGGGCGTGTTTGTTTTGGTGATTTCAAATGTCAACATTGGCTACCAGAAATCACTTACCCCACCTTTAAAACAACCCGGAGCACTATTTCGACTGAGGGGATGGAGGGGAAAACCGTGGGAAAAAATGCAATTGGGCTAGTTTTTTTTTGGTTTTTTGTTTGCAGACCTGGCAAGCCTGCAAGAGGGCTCCTACAAGTTTTCTGAAGGTAAATGTAAGATTTTAGACCTTTTTAAGACCAAGTAAAGACAATTTAAGGAATAAACTGAAGGGAACATAATATGTCAATATATCAATATTATCTCTTAATAAAAAATGTATTGCCATCATGACATTTTGCTTCAATTAAAGACCTTTTTAAGGCATTATTTTGAGGAAGAGTGAATTAAGTTTATTAATTTATTAAAGAATTAATTTAGAAATTAAGTATTTTTTATATTAAGTGAAACATTAGCTTATGGCCATACAACTTCTCATCTGATCTTGGATAGGGTTCAATTTTCTGTGTTTTTCGCATGCATTTTGAGAGGATAGGATGACGAAAAGGAAAAATGAAGAAAAAAAAAAAGCACATGTGTGCACATGAGTTCTGGCTATAATTAATTCATCAATGCATTGCATTGTGGGATACAGCATTCCCTGCTCTGGTGCATACATCTAATTTTGGCAATGATCATCCAGGTATTTTGTGTACAAAAATGTGCTTACTGTATACATCATATACACTGCAGCAATGGTAAATGCTACACAACCAAAATGAGCACATATCTGCATAATTCATTGAGTTCTAAGCATGTTGTGCGGTGCTGCTTTTGTCTTTCATAGACACACCCGCACTGAATCGCAGAATAAACTTTCCATACATTAACAAGCGCTAAACAGATGTGTCTGTCTCTCTTTACGCCCCGAGCACTTTTCCATGAGCAGTGCATTATTTGTGCATGTGTATACTGAGAGATGTGTGATGGGTGAGAGATGTCCGAGCCGTACAGGTGAGAGGTCAGCAGGGTCCTCGTCTTCTGCTTCTTCATGATTGTCCTCGATCTCCTCCATCACCTCGGCTTTGGCCTCGGCCACCAGCTCTCTCAGCGGACGGTTGGTCTTCACCGAACTGACGAAAGGATGCTGAAGCACAGAACACACATGGAAAGATTATTCATTGCGCATAACATTAGCATGTCACCTTAAGCAGCACACACAACAAATAACATAAACTGGGAGATTAAATCATTTGCTTTGATTATGTGTCTTTCTACTCATCACTGAAAACCGTATCAGATTGTCATGGTTGCCGTCAAACTGAATCAAACCAGATTTCAAATTTAATGTTGCTTTGCAATGTTTAGAAAAGAAATACAATCAAATTAAATTGTCGGAGCAAGCATTCATATCTGAAAGGTCATCATTCAGTTTGGTTCAAAAATATTTGGACTCGATATTTTAAGAATAATTATAAAAATGATCGCACCCCTTCGACTTTAGATATTTACAATTAATCTTTCAATAATTTAACAACCAATTTACATCTTGATGGTTCTTTGATGGGGGTCAGACAAATAAAAACAAATAAACAAATGAAATATTTAATATTTTTAGTAGTGCTGTCAAAAGATTAATTGCGATTAATCGCATCCAAAATAAAAGTTTTTGTTTGCATAATATATGTGTGTGTACTGTGTATATTTATTATGTATATATAAATACACACACATACAGTAAATATTTACATATATACATTTACATTCTTATATGTTATATTATATATAAATATACTGAACATATAAACATAACATATTTTTCTTAAATATATACATGCATGTGTTTGTATTTATATATGCATAATAATATACACATTATACACACATATATTATGTAAACAAAAACATTTATTTTGGATGCGATTAATCGCGATTAATCGTTTGACAGCACTAATTTTTTGTTAGTTTTTTAATTTTATTTATTTTTATTTCAAAACTAATATTTATTGTTATTTCATTTCATTTTAATTTAATTTTTTATTATTTACGATTATTGTAACGATTATTGTAACGAGGTGTTGAAAAAGGTGGAAAATTTCCAGTAAATTTCAGAAACATTCCATAAATTTTGGAAACTTTCCAGGATTTTTGGGAATATTCCAGGGTTTTTTGGAAACTTTCCAGAAATTTACCAGAAATGTTCCACCCCTTTGCAACCCTAGTTTTAACAACATGTTATTTAACTTATAAATACACTTGCAATCAGCAGAATTGGCAGTTCATTACACACACACAAAAAAAGTTGTTCTTGAGAGAGTCTGGGGTTTAATTAGGAGAAGAGCAGGCACTCAGGTACTGAACTGTGAAAGCAGCAGTGTAATGGAGAGAAACGCTGCTCTCATCTATTATTCAGCTGAGTTGCACCTTGTTTAATTGAAGCGTCCCAGCTGCCAAGCGTATGTGAGGGCGAGTCAAGCGTTAAAAACATGCAGCCAGCAATATATCAATTACCACAACTACAGACAATGCATCCCAATTCACATAGCATGCATCCTAAATTGCTTCCCAATTCATAGTTTGCAGAAAATAGCCTGGCCATGTTGCCTGGATGATTGTCTAACACTGACACTGTATAAAAGCTGCCTTTGTGGAACATGCATATGATGCCCTTAAATGCATGTTAAAGTCTCATGACCTCCACCTTGGTTTCAGTGATCAGCTTTAAACTACAGACCTGGCCTATAAAGACTTTGACTTTGCAGTAATTGTTTGGCACTCAGGATCTAACAATGATATATGAACTTAGCACACAACTCTTCACAGAAAAGCATGCACCGCATATCAATGTCACCTTCAGCCCAACAAACACCTGTCTTCCAGGCTGCTTTGTACGAAACACCCAGAAGAGAGAGTGCTATCAGAAAATGAGCTGAAGTTACTTTATATTCAGTGGCTGCTCTGCAGATGTCCAGAATTAACTTCTAGCACATGTGCCAATAGCAGCCAAACATTATTTATAGTTTATGTAGGAATTACAAATAATAATAAACAACCAAACAAATATCGCAGCAGCGGCGCGTCTCGTGGGCTAGACAAACAAAACATTAAAATGCAACAACGTCACTTACATCATCATCACCGCATCTCTCGCTCCACTGATGACGCTCCCAGACGCACACCTAACATTTGATTGTACTATTTTTGCATTCAAATGCAAGTGTTTATTTTAAATTCGACTAATATAAATTTTTTTATTCACAATCTCCTCATCACAGGCAGGCACAGCACTCATGTCCGTGTTTGTGTGTGCTGTCTGCGTCACTCATAGCACGTGCCTATATCGTGCAATATATCGAAAAAATTTTATATCGTTATCGAGGAAGGTGTACCGTCGATAAATATCGATACCGTTTTATCGCCCAGGCCTAATGGACACATGACAAGTCTGTGTGTGAGATTCCTTACTTCTAGAAGCTGAGCAGTCGTCGGCCTCGTCTCAGGGTTTCTGTCCAAAGCTTTTTTCAGGAAATCCTTAAATTCCATCGACCTGAAATATACAAAACCATTAAGCATTCGCCCGAGAGGGGGATGCAATCTCTCGTTGTGTAATGGTGATAAAACAACATTCGACAGACAGTCACATTCTAGAAATGTTAAACGCTATAAATCTAAGAAAAAAGCCACAGCTATGCTCACAGAACAGCCCATCTTCGGAAGGAATCTTACAGTAATGATGCAAGTTACTAAAATCTTTGTGGCTCACCACTTGGCAGGCTGCTCCAGGGTGGGAGGCTCAGACTTGGCAATTTTTAGCAGGACCCTCATGGGGTTCAGCTCGTGGTGAGGCGGCTCTATCTGAGCCAGCTCGATCAGCGTGATGCCCAGAGACCAGATGTCAGCTTTGTAGTCGTATGGAGCGTCCTTCATGGTCTCGCACATCACCACCTCTGGAGCCATCCTGAACATACAGGAGACATCAGAGCAGGTCCAGCTCAGAGCCGGTCAGACCAAAACCAAAGGGCTTGAATACATTCCCAGTGAGGAAACAAGTACTTGGTACTTGTAATTGGATTACAATTACTTTTTTTATGGATTACATGATTACATATCATTCACACAAAGGCAGTAAATATTCATAATTTATTGATTCACACCAGTTCTGTTCAGTTTCTTAATAAACCAACCACTTATATGTACACCGACCACTCACACACACACACACACACATATATATATATATATATTAGTGCTGATATAACGATTAATCATGACTAATCGCATCCAAAATAAGTTTTTATTTACATAATATATGAGTGTGTACTGTGTAGGCAAATGTGATTTGTTTTAGCATGCTAAGCATCTATTCAAATAAATTTTCTACTGTAATTTTGCTGATGAAAAGGACATATAACAAGGACTTTATATTCAGATACTACAAGGCACAACTAATTTTTCCTTCCACAGAGGAAACTTACTAACATCTGTTGGGTTTACAATATAACCAAAGCCACACGTGCAAGGAAAAAAAGACTTATTTTTTCCAGATGCTTTAAGAAAAGACAAAAAAATAAATTGGCTTAAATGCATCTATCGTTCAGTGACATTCACTAATTATTAATATGTGACCCTGGACCACAAAACCTGTCATAAGGGTCAATTTTGAAATTGAGAGTTATACATCATGAGGGTGCAAAAAAATCTAAATATTGAGAAAATCATCTTTAAAGTTGTTCAAATGAAGTTCTTAGCAATGCATATTACTAATCAAAAATTAAGTTTTGATATATTTACGGTAGGAAATTTACAAAATATCTTCATGGAACATGATCTTTACTTAATATCCTAATGATTTTTGGCATAAAAGAGAAATGTATAATTTTGACCCATACAATGTATTGTTGGCTATTGCTACAAATATACCCCAGCGACTTAAGACTACTTTTGTGCTCCAGGGTCACATATTTAAAGTCTGGACAAAAATATTTCAAACCTGGAAGCCTTTGGTCATGTAATGTCACATTTTCATGTTTATTTATGTTTGTTCATGTAATTCAGAGATTCCCAAGTTTTTTTGAGAGGCGAACACCTTTGGCCTAAAATATTTACTTGAAGATTTCAATAATTTAACGAGTTATGTCCAAGGTAATCTAAAAGTAATAATCAGACTGCATTACCTAATATGTATAATCCAGATTATGCTACTAATTACAAATTTTGTAATGTAATCTGTAATCAGTAATGGACTACAATTTGTAAGTCATCTACCAAGAACTGTTAGCCAGTGACTGAAATAATTCACTACAAGCCACTAATAGAATTGATAACGTTTGTTTACGAGTCAGATAAAGCGATAAACTACCTCTAAAACTTAAAAGGAAGTACAAAGGTAAGAAAGGTATTTCATATCAGGGCATTCAAACTGAACTCTAGTTAATGATTGCTTTAGTCCTGTGGGACACAACAAATCTGTCCCTTTCTCTTAGTTTTATCGGAATCTCATGAAATGTGTAATTATTAATTATAATTCTGTTTTGTATAATTATATTACGCACAAACTATTTTGGAGGGCCAAAATTATTGACCAGAAACAGTGACAATTAATTAGAGCTCAGTTGAAGCGGCACATGAACCGATAATCTCTTCCTCTTTACTACTAGCTATAGCACAAAATAAACATGAGTGAACATCTGAAGGTGTTGAAAAAAACTTCCTGAAATGAATCATGTCTCATGTAATCAGTCAATCTTTCAACAATAGAAAGACGTCAATAAAAGAGCTTAGAAACAATGTCACATAACTTCATATTTACCTCTAGAAAGCCATCCACTGTCCATAACTTGTTAGCATTCTATCATTTTGCTAAATGTATGCACTATACTATTATATTCATTAAATTTCAATTAAACTTTTGTCTTCATTATTAAATGTATGTTTGAATATCATGAAAACAAGCTTTTATTACATCCACCGTCTAAATGTTTATATTTAAACTACAAACTGGAGTAGTTATATAATTAAAATCTCCTCTTAATTAATTGATTATTAAATAAACCTAAAATATATTTGTTTTCGATTATCAGTGAAATTAAAACTTTAATTTTGGTTTTGGTGCTTCGGTGTAAAATTCATTTTGATGCATGTCATTATTTAGTAATTATTATGTAATAAACCTGCAATGATTAATAATAATTATAATTACTTTTATTTAGTGACTTGCCTGACGAGCCTGTCTGCAGTCATGTGACATGCTGTAAAAATTAACAGACTGCTGTAAATATTATATTATATCTATTATATATTACATATATTATAATATAGATCAACCTTAAGCAGTTTCAACTGCACTTGCCCAATATATTTTTGCCTGAAATGATTATGACAGCAGATCATTGATTTATAGCACTTACCAATATGGCGTCCCGATAAAAGAGTCTCGTCGTTGAAGAGTTTTGGTGTTTTTTGCAGAAACTCCAAAATCCGCTGTAAAAAAAGCAGAAATGCTGGATCACATGAATATTTCATCCCAATCTTAAAAAATTTCACGTTATAATCTGTAAAACCTCTAATATATATTTGATACTATTTTACATGTTAAGTTTGGGGTTTGTAAGATTTGTAGATGTTTTTAAATGAAAGAAGCCTCTTTTGCTCGTCAAGGCTGCATTTATTTGATTGAAAATACAGTGAAAACAGTACAATTCTGAAATATTATTACAATTTAAATGAACTCTTTTCTATGTGAATATCTGTTAAACTGTAATTTATTTCTGTGATCAAAGCTGTATTTTCAGCATCATTACTCCAGTCTTCAGTGTCACATGATCTTCAGAAATCATTCTAATATGCTGATTTGCTGCTCAAGAAACATTTCTGATTATTATCAATGTTGAAAACAGTGATGCTTAATAATTTTGTGGAAACCTTTTTTCCAAGATTCTTCGATAATAGGAAGTTCCTTCAAACAGTAAAAATAATTTACAATATTAGTGGTTTTGACTGTATTTTTTAGCAATTAAATGCTAGGTATTTTTTTTGGTCTGTCTAGCAAATGCTGGATATATATTTATGTATCAGCTATGACAGATACGAGTCCTCAGTCATGTGTGGAGCTGATGTTTGGCGGACCATATCTGAAGCACATGAGTATGTTTCTCTCACAAGAAGCGCTAAAAGCCTGATACCATTAACCAGCACACAATGAAGCCACATTCGGTTACACGTGAAGCAGCATTCAGAGGGAATAATTTGCTCATTCAATCACTAAATCCAGTGAGACTTGAGCAGAGAAGTGTAATGAAATATTCAGTCAGCTCTTGGCAAACTGTGGTACTTTACAACACAACCTTCATACAAGGTTTCAAGGAATTGTGGATTGTGTGTGTGTGTGTGTGTGTGTGTGTGCGTAAGAGTGTGAGAGAGGTCAAAAGAATTAGTAAGAGATCTTTTGCTCTGTAACAAATCCTAACTAGACAGCATTTTAAGGCATCACAGCCGCACACCTGATCATTTTAATATGTCCTTGCTGAATGAAAGTATTATATGAATGGTACTGACTACTACTAATTGGTCATGTATTATGGCTTCCACAAAAATATGAAGCAGCAAAACTGCTTATCAACACTAATAAATATTCAGAAATGTCTTTTAGCAGCAAATCAGCATATTAGAATGATTTCTGAAGATCATGTGACACTGAAGACTGGAGTAATGATGCTGAAAATTCAGCTTTGATCACAGTAATAAATTATATTTTCAAATATTTTTACATAGAAAATATATGCAAAAATAGTATTTTTATTGTACGTTTAGCTAATAAATGCAGCCTTGGTGGGCATAACAATAATATATATAAAATATATTATGTATTATTTTATTTTTTAATAATTATTTTATTAAAAATAAAATAATCTTAGTACAGAGTTGCTGCTTATGTAGAGCGTTCCAAATCAATCATGTTTGTTCCAATTCAGTTAGGATGATCCCTTAGAAGGCATCAAGCCTGCTCACTAGGTTCTGGAACAGAATTATTGTCCTTCGTCAAATTATAATGAGTTTGTGTGCTTGAGAAAAAAAAAAAGACAAACGATACCAAATAAATAGCGTGGTTGTCAGTTTTAAACCACACCCAATTGAAATCAGACGACCGGTCGGACTGCTTCGTTTACATACGAACCTAGCTTGATGTCTCCGTCCAGTGTGAGGAGGATGTTTCCAGCCTTCAGGTCTCTGTGGATGATCTTCATGCTGTGGAGATACTGAAGAGCCTCCAGCATTTGTTTACAGACCACTCGGATCTGAGGCTCTTCAAGACCCCTGTCCAGCTCTGAAAGACACAAACAATAAAATCTTCAGACTAGTGCATCACACACTTCAAAAGAAAAAAGCTATTATATTATATTATATTATATTATATGACAATTTGAACCCTATTTTTAAAAGTATTAAAAGGTATTTTACAATTCTGTCAATGTCAAACACACAAACATGCATATTCAATAAACTTGAGTTTGAGAGGGCAATGAACTTTAAGTGACCTTGACTGGCTCGTTCAAAAAACACCCAAAATAATGCAATATCCTGTTTAAACTTCAGGGGACTCACCCATGAGCTAATAACCAAGATCATCAAAAGGAAGTTGCAGGGGGCTTTTATGAAAACAATAACATGAAGGAAAGCAATAGGAGATTCAGGTCTTACCTAACATGGTGGCATCGACAGCACCTCCAGGGCAAAACTCGATCATTATCTGTGGGGGAAATGAGGTACAATGTGAGAGGGTTTTGTTCAGGGCAGAGATTTCTGGCTCATTCAGACACAGAAGAACTCAGTGGAGTTGGAAGAAAATAGTAATTTGATGTAAACAGGAAAAGGTGGTGCAGTGTATGTGAACAATGTCAGACTGATCCAGTTTATGTGAGAATTAGAGGAATGAACTTCATGACTCATACACTCATATAAAAGTTTGGGATCAGTAAGATTTTTTTTTTTTTTTTTTTTTTTTTAAAGAATTCTCCTCAAGGCTGCATTTATATAATCAAAAATACAGTAAAATCAGTAATATTGTGAAATATTATTACAATTTAAAATAGCTGTTTTCTTTGTGAATATCTGTTAAACTGTAATTTATTACTGTGATCAAAGCTGGATTTTCAGCATCATTACTGCAGTCTTCAGTGTCACATGATCCTTCAGAAATCATTCTAATATGCTGATCAGTGTTGGAAACAGTTGTCTTTTATATCACATTTTATCAATTTAACACATCCTTACTGAATAAAATTATTAATTTATTTCAAAAAAAAGAAAAAAAAAACATTGACCCCAAGCTTTTGAATGGTATTGTATTGGTACAAACTAGTGCTGTCAAAATTATCAATTAAGTTTCCAGTTTAACGGCGTTAAAAATATTTAACGCAGGGGCGGGGCTAGGGTTGGCTGCGCCACTCACAACTGCTGCTTCCGTCTCTTTTTTCTTGACAAAAATTGTGTTTATTTAGACGCAGAACATCTTTACAGGCACATCAGATGGGAGACTTTCCTTTTCCCATTTTTGTTAAAACAAATTTCCCTCTTCTGTCTGCCATTATACTGTGCTTGTCATGAACATGCTCTTCAATTGCACGCACAAATGCGCCGGCGCGCTGTATATCATTTTATATTCAAGTGCAATTATATATAAAAGGTTGTGAGAAAACACAATGCGTATCAGATTCGTGTCACATTCAGCAGTGGCAGCTCTTAAAGTAATAGCAGCCAAAACAACCTAATAACCGGCTGCTGTGATGACTGTTCATCAAGAACAAAAGAAAAAAAGGAAATCAGTAACGTTTGTAGCTTTAAGGATTCGTCTATATTTAATTTAGAATTTAGTGTTTGATAACTTTATTTAACCCTACTTGCTGAAGGGCACAGGTAAATATGACATTTATTAAAATGGGTTTATGTGAAGATTGTTTTAAATTCACTTAAATTAGAAATTGTTATTTTTTAAAGTCTAATAAATGTTAAAATTGATAGATCTCATTTATACTGTAATGTTGAATGGCTATAATCAATGGTCAATTTCATAGAGACATCAGTATTATTGGTATCAGCGATACTCGCCTTCAGTCATAAAAAAGATGCCACTAAACAAATATTTAAAAATCTACTCTTTTTATGTTGTTTGTACATTAATTTGAAGATTGCATGTGAAATTATTGCAATATAAAAGTATATTTAAAAACTTTAATGTTAGGTGAGTTTAATCACGATTAACAGTGATTAATTTCAGAAAACAAATGTGTGATTAATTTGTTAAAAAAAATTAATTGATTGACAGCACTAGTACAAACGATTTCTATTTTTTTTAAAAAGCTGTTCTTTTAACTTTTTATTCATCAAAGTAACACAGGTTCCAAAAAAAAAATATTAAGCAGCACAACTGCTTAGAAAACTATAATTTTAAATTGTCATATTATTTCACAATATTAGTGTTTTCACTGTATTTTTGATCAAATAAATGCAGCCTTGATGAGCAGAAGAAACTTATTTAAAAAGTCTTTCTGATGCCAAACTTTTGAACGACAAATACAGTAGTTTACACAAACTAAAAACAAATGCTGTTTTTGAATCAGTCTGGCAGGCTGACTGGTTAGATTAGAAAAAATAACCCAGAGATGACGATAAATTAGGTGAAATATAGTTGACATAACGATTAATCTTCACAAACAGTTTAGTGAAACGTGATAATTTCCACTGTGTCTTAACCAGACACAACACAACAAACTTCCAGTGACCAGAAATGTGTTTTATGCACACTAGAAGGGAAAATTCTGCACGCGACTCAATCACAACCAATCAGAACAAAGCTGATGTTTAATTTACAGTTATGTGGAACACAACTTTGGACCAGTGAGTTTCCGCTGTAGGCAGGGCTTCAGTGCTGCAGAAATAACAACTTAAGGAAAAGAAGAAGAAGAACACGAAACTGAAAAAAAAATGCCCTGCTGTCTGTCATTGTTGCAGCTGGTTAGTACAAAAACTGACATTTGCATGGAAGAGACAGACTTGTTCATAGCCTGGCTAGGACATGTGCTATAGTTTGACTAGAAAAATAATACTCAAATCACTCTTATTTCTATGGAACTTGAGTTATTCAGTGTCACTGGCTGAGTCTGTGCATGTATTTCTAGACTGTGCTGATGTTTCAGTTTTTGTTCCTCTATTTGAACACATTTACAGATTGTGTAATAAAGATTAAAGATTAGGGATGCACGATATTGTTTTTTTGCCGATATCCAGATATTTTTCAACTCATTTTTGCCGATACCGATACCTATACCGATACCAATATATTTCCTTTTTTTGGAAACAACACCAAGTCTCTCCTGTGCAGAGATTCTAAACAAATTATTTTTAATTTTGATTCGTTTTTAACAAAAACTTATTTGTTAGAATTTTAAAAAACAATAATGAATTTCTTTTATAATGAGAGTGCATTGAAAGCTTTGAAAATACTATAAATCAATCACTTTTTTTTTTCAGAGAGACGCAGTGGTGGTAACCTTAACAGTTTATTTAAAGATTTAACATTTGTATATGGTCTAAAGAAAAGAGTTGTAAACATTCTGAAAATCTTTCAGAGCTCATAATCTGTTTGAAAAAAAGAAAAAAACATTAACATTAATACATTAATAAACAAATCTGTATAAAATTATTTAATTAACAAGTGTCATGTTTGTGATTTTTATTCATGCAAGCTATATCGTCTGACCTTTAAATCAAAACATACTCATGATTTTACGACATCGGTTACTGCTTTATTTAATCAGAAATACAATCTTAATGTTATTTGTGTATTTTACTATCATTTTATTACAAGTAGGCCAACAGCGGCCCCTAGGGAATTAAAACTCTTTACCTGACGGGCATTAGGCCGCCGCTGCATGCGCTAGTGACTGTTGAATCTATTGCGCAGCGGATGCGTCATTGTGTTCATGCATTCTCAGTTTAAAAGCAGTGATCAAAACAGTGAATCTAATCACCATTCAGGCAAAAATTCGCTTCAAGAATGACCACAATGCTGACTTGATGTTATTGCTAGCACACCCTGAGCACATACGAGTTATTCGTCTTATCGGAAAGACTTATCGGCATAATTGTACATATCGGACACATGCCAATGTTTACATTTTAAGCCATTATCGGCCGATTCCGATATCACAATAATATTGTGCATCCCTATTAAAGATAGATACTTACCACATAAAAACAAGACAAATTCCATTTAAATAAGTTAATTATATCGATCAAACATATTTTTTTTTAAACATGGAGGATTTTTTAGCTGAATTAAAAAATAAATAATATGAACCTGCCTCTAGCAAAATATATGCAGTAAGTTAGGCCCAATAATAATTCAGTATCATAAACTCTTATATCATAAAAACGGGAATGCTATGACATGACTAACAATGTCATCACGTTCAAATGACAAAGATACACAATATCTCTAATATGTGTGTCAAAGCTGTTGATTAATCTTAACTTGATAAGTTCAACATACAAAAAGCCTTGCCATGTGTTGCAAATGATAACCACCTTAAATCATTTTGTTTTCGCAATCAAAGCAAATTCCTGAGTCATTAGACAATTTCACAGCATTTTCTCAATGCTCTCTCCAGATGAATGGGATAACTGCCTACCTGTTTAACGTGAACCAAGAAAACCTACACCTTACATCGCCAGCCAAAACAATAACGGACCAAGATCTTCACATACTGTAATTTGGCTGTCACTGATATGAATTTGCAAGTTCTCCAAACAGTTCCAGAAGGTTCCTTTAAAATGTCTATACAAATACACAAGAAGTAAGAGGAATTTACAGTCGTAGACAAGAATGGCTCCTAAGCGATTGAGGTTTTCTGTTGTTGGATGTTATAATGAACATAGCAGTCGTCATTTACTCCCGACATCTGAGCCGCTGAAGACGCAGTGGATTACATTTGTTTCTTAAGGGAATGCGCCCCCGATCTACCTAAATGCGTCTATGTTCACGCGAAAAATTCGTGATCCAGCTTCACCTACAGAAGAAGTGAGTATAAGGTTTTTATTTATGAATCTTTGGAAATCGCCTTTCCTAATAATGTGCTAGTTAGCAAGTTTCACGATGAATGCGGCTAAAGTTTACCGTCTCTCAGAGAGTGGCTCGGAAGAGAGGGGCGGGGTCAGCAGAGCTCATTTGCATTTAAAGCGGCATGCAACAAAGCGGCTTGCTGTGAACAGAGCTGTTTTTGACAGGCTAAAAAGGGTGTTGTTTTACACTACATTCAGAAATTTTAACCAAACTATGTTACAGACTTTTCATTAAGACCCTAAAGAATCATATCAAACTGTGGACAATGGGCATCCGATGACCCCTTTAAAGGTCACTATAAGAGGTGTGCACAAATAATCAAATATTTTAATATTCGATCTGTAATAAAATACAAACACTATTTGAATGAATCGATGAATCACCTGCGATTATGAACGCGATATTGCGTAGCTTGTCAGTTAACTGTGGCTCTGTGTAGTAAATGCTGCTCAATCTGAAAGCACGTGATGGAGATTTACTACTAATCACAGAACCGGCTTTACTGACGAGATGTGCATGACAATCGCATTCGATTATTTGCACAGCCCTATATCATATGCATGCCAAAGTTAATTTTTGTATATAAATAGCACACCAAATCGAAACAAACTCATGCTATTGAGACGCAC